GAACAGCTCCGAGAGCTTGTGCCCTACCTGCCGCCGGATCCGCCAAGACTCAGCAGGCAGTGGTCGCGGGGGAGGGGTGTGCATGGCTGTCCATCACTAGCTGGTGGGAAGGGAGCCGTGACGGAGCTGGGGTCCAAATTTGCTTGTAAGGGTCCCCTGTGAGTGGTTCAGCAGCTACCAGGAGTTCCGGAAGGATAAAGTGGATGAGGGCACCTGCCCAGCAGTCACTTGTTTTGGAAGACCCTTCAGCGATTTCCTGGGACATTCCATCATTTGTCAGTGGAAGGGGTGCAATCCTGCCATGAACTATTGTGATTTGGCACTGTGAGCTTGCTAGGTGCTGGAGGGAGTGCGTTGCGGCCAGGTGCAGTTTGGTGTTTCAAGTGATGATGGTGACAGCTCTCTTTGAGCATGTTTGAGACCGGCGGACGCAGTGGCCTGAGTCATCCAGATCAGCTTTGAACTCATTCCATTTGCTCGGTTCAGCCATCTCCTTCTCGCTCTCATTTGTCTGCGCCATCTCGCCCCATGCATTTGTGCCATCTCTCTATAGTCTCCCTATACAATCTAATCTCTCCTGGATTGAAGTAAACAGCATCGCTTGAATAACATCTCGGCGCACCGATCCATGCAGGGGGCCCACCAGGCAGCGTAGAGGCGTAGAAATAATCCTTCCCCGCGGTTTTTTGCACTCAACCTGCACGATCCACGCAGAGGGTCGGCCACACACCGCAAGAAAGCATCTGGGTTTCGGCCACAAAAAGCTTTCGCAGAAGGACTCAGAGTCTGCTGGAGGGTCACAGTTTCACAGACTGTGGTCGCTGCTGCCTTACAAGTCACATTTGTTTGAAGTTGCGCACGCAAGGCTGGGGCAAGTCTTCGTGCTACAAGTCTTCGGGCTGCAAATCCTTCTCAGCAAGCTCTTTGCGATATCGCTCTGAGCAAATGTTTGTGCTCGTGCTATATTTCTGTGAAATGTGTGACATCTCTTTGAGCGATCTCGGGGTGACATCTCGAAGCAATCTCTATGCGACTCCGGCGGCTTTCGGGGAAAGCCTTCGCAGGTGGTGCAGGATTTTGTCCAGCCCAAAGGAAGCCGAAAGTGTATAGAGAATAGTTCATTTGATTCAGACCCCCTGTTTAGCACCTGCTGTTTCCCATCTCAAAACCGTGGTTGGTTGGGTGGCTATTTCGTAGGGTTCACTTCCGGGCATCCCAACTCATTGCCTGGATGGTTCCATCTCATTGAGTTATTCAAACTCATTTCCAACTGGGTTTGTATCTTTTGAGGGTGCCCCAGTTCTGGCTGGTGGTTGGAAGGGAGCTGTTACGGAGCTGTGGGTATTCAAATTTAGTCTTTTGTAAAGGGAGGGGTTCAGGAACTACCAGGAGTTGCGGAAGGACATGGTAGCGGATTATTTTACCAACTAAAACGACCCCAGCTGATTTTTGAAGGCAAGCTGTACCCCAATGCACCGTTGGTTTCCATGAAAGCTGCCACTTTCGGAATGGCTCCGGAGCTCCGCCCCTTTTGGGCGTCGGTTTCCCCCGAAGCGAGCGGAGGTCGGCGCGGCGGAAGCTCGCGGAGCGCCGGGAGCTGGAGGCGAAGATGGCCCAGGAGCAGGCGACGGCTTTGGGGGCCGGAAGCCCGGGTGGAGCTTTGGGGTGCAGCTCTCGAGATGGATCATAATACATGCTCTTTTCCCCCCCCCTTTTTCTTCTTTTAAATGTCCAGTATGTCCATCTGTACAAGCATGAATAGGTATGTAATGTGTACACTTGCGCACAATATGTCACAACATGTATTTACTAATTGTATGATGTATCTAATGCATATCGTGTATTGGAAAGATAAACTATTGCAGTTTGACGGGTGTGACATGTCGTTTATGTGATACCTCTTGTCATTTCTTAAAATGGCTTGAATACGGCGGGCTTCTACAGGTTCCAAGGGGGTAGCCGTGAGCCGTGTTTGGCCAAAAAGGGGTGACACACTTTTCAAAGTCTGAAAGTCAGACCTTGCCCCCGCCATCCATTTGCAGTGGATGGACATTTGAACGGTTGCTCTTTCAGAGGCATCCGAAATTTCAGTCCGGCTTCGCGGCTTTCGGCTTCAACCGCTGCCTTTTCGGTTCAGTTTGGGCGATGGCTTTGGGGCTTTCCGATCTTTCCAGCGACTAGGGGCGCATGTAATAGGATGCCAGCAGGCCTTCCTCCGAGCTCATTGAGAAATGGAGGTGGCCCCAAAAAAAATCCCCAGTTTTTTTTCAGGGTGCCCCGAAAAGTGTCAATGAGGAGGCTCGTCCCTTTTTGTTGTCATTGTTTGCTAAAAGCAGCGATCCACCTTTTGTGCTTCATGTGGCTGTGGGTCAACAACAGGTACCCAAAACGGCTTGCCCTGCCAAATGGCAACATGCACTACAACCTGCGGTCCGATCCCTGTTGGTTTGAGTTTGACCCATACCCATGTGCAAACCCCTGGCAAATGGACACATGGACTAAAACCTGCGGTGTTGGTTCCATTTTGACCCACACCCAGGGGAAACCGGCGCGAGACCATGCCCCATCGGCTCCTTCAGGCGGACCGGCAGCAGGCAGAGGCGCGCCAGGGCTTCGCAAAGGCGCGGTTCCGCGCCCTGGGCGGCTCGGCGGCTTTTAACGGGCGGTGGCCTGGGGCACTTCCCACGGCGTGAAGTCGTTGCTGGGAAGGTGGGGTTTAGAGGTACCTAGATCCCCAGTTGCCTTTATTTTCCAGCTACTTTGACCAAATTATGGGCTGCTAGTGGGTAAAGCGGCTGGAAACAAGTGGCTACTTGGGGTTTTAGAGGTAGTTGGGTGTCGCAATTCCAAAGCATTGCCGGAAGATTGCCCCAAAACCGAACGCACTTTTTGCCGGAAGGCTGCCATTGAAAGTCCAGCCGGGGTTTATCACGAGCCGAGGCTTCGCAGTTCTGCGTGCCGTGGCAAGGGGCCGATGGCCGGAGGGCGCTCGACGGTAGCTTCTGACCTTTTGGGGGAGGGGGAGGGGGGAGGGGAGGGGGGGCGAAATTCGGAAGTTTTTCTAGTTTCGTTGCTTTTTTTTGTTTTTTGTTTTTTTTTTTGTTTTTTTTGGGGGGGAGCTTTTCGAGTTGTGTTGTTTCTTTTTCTTCATTTTTTTTGGGGGCCAGGCAACGACAAAGGTTCTTTTGTTTGTCTCCAGAAATGGAACCCCCCTAGCCAATTCAACACAAATAGGAACGATCATTTTGCTGTGGCCAACAGTCTTTGGTCGCTAATTGGCAGCTCGGGATATCTTGGATGGGTGGTTTCGGGGTTGATTCAGGGCAACAAGAATCCCTTTGCAAGTGATTTCACCCTTTCCCCCCCCCCGTGGCATCCGCAGCAGCTTGGGCTTTCACCTGAAACCTTCTTTGAGCTCGCCGCTCCGAGCTCAAGACTCAAGAGCTTTCCGGGGTAAGAGGGAGACACCCGGCGGCGTCCGTTCTTCCAACTTTGTTTTGAGCTTTAAATCTCTTCGGCGACCCAACAACGGGCATCTGTTCTTTTTTTTGCCCGATGGACGTCCGCCGGCTTCGGATCCCAAGGCGCGTGTCTTACCTCGGAAACTGAGGCAAGCTCCGCCTCCAGGACGAAGACTTTTTCGAGAGCTTCGGCTGCAGCCGCCCAGTGGTGGCTTTTGTACCCGCCTTGGGGGGAGTTCTGCTTTCCTTGCCTTGCAAACGGAAGCGCTTACAAGTTTGTATGTACATGCTGCGGTGGCATTTTGAAACCGCGCAGAATGATTTCCTCCCCAAAGTGATTGATCCCCTCTAAAGCGGCATGCCATCCTAGTAACCAACCCGGGTTTATTCATTCTGGGTCCTATTTATGTGAGCTTGCTAGTGAATCCTACGAATCGAGACGTCCACGCGCGGAGGGCACCAAGCGTGCCAGCAGTAAACTTTGAATGGATCTTGGATCGCGCGACGTAAGGGGTCGGCACTGCCTCAAGCCATTTGGCTGTTTCTGTTTGAGGGTAGCCCTTTTTTGTTGCTTTAAGGGAAGCCAAAAGGAAAAGCACTGCCATTTTTGGGGGGTCCCCCAAAAGAGACACCCAATTGCTTCTAAAGGGCTCTTGAGGGGGAGGCTTGCTACCAGCCGACCTGATGGTTCCTGACCATCACAACCATACATGTCGGTTGGCCTTGAGGAAAAAGCAAGGCCCCGCCCCTTGGGGGGAGTGGGGGGGGGGGCAGGCGGTTGCGGAACAGCGCAGTGCAGCCGATGTCGAAACCCATCAAGAAGAAGGCGGGGGCGTTGGCTTTCCAGGGCGGCCGCGTGCGCAAGAGCGCGCAAGCGAGCACGTGCCAAATCACAGGTTTCTGGGACGGGCAAAAATGGTTCAGACAGGGGGTTGTGGGGTTCAAAGACCAAACGTGCGCACTGGCTGTGGCCCCCTGTGGTTTCTGCCACTTGTCAAGAACATACATCGCGGAACCCCAAGGAGTTTGGAACCCACATGTCCAAACATATTTGTTTGTTTTCATGTGTCCCTTGGACTCCAAGCATGGGCCTTTCAGAATCAACTGGAGGGGCGGTACATGGAGCCCATTCATTGAGAGTGTGCCAGGGAGGGACGCGCTCAATGCTCTCATTTTTGCACAAGAGACGGCGCATCTCCATCTGAACAGGGGGGAGGAGTTGACAAGGGTCCGGACAATTGCCCCCTGGCCATCTCTCAAATTTACAGCTTTCCTTCCATCCGTTTGGGAGTTCGATACTTGATGCCTCAAAGGGACACACGTAAGGACCACCTGGCTGAACACAGAGCCAAGGCTGCCCCAGAAACCTTGGGCATCACTTTTCCCCCCCGATGTCACGGGTCAAGGGTGGGATGGGAGAAGCCGCTCAGAACACCCACATTCCCATACCAAAGAACAAGCAGGAGTTTGCCTTTGGGACCTGGTGGCTACAAACACTTCAGAAGCCAGGCCACCCGTTCGATTCTTAACATGGTTTCCGGCAGGGTACTCGAATACCAGGTTTTGAGCATGACTCGTTGCGGGCCCTTGGAACGGGGGAACCATTTGTCTGTGTTCATTGGAGGTCGGGTCCCGGCTTGTTGCGATCCGCATCGGAGCGCATTTTTTTCTGGAGGTGAAGCTGCAGAGCTCCAAAGATGACGAGGATTTTGACCCATTCTACCACCACCTGAGGCACGTGAGGCGCGGGGGTATTGCCACTGGGGCAGGTCAGATTCTTTGGCGCCACGCTTTGGGTGTGTCTAGGGCTAGGGAATCGTGTGTCCTTTTTGAGGGTTCCACGGTACCCCAGTTTCTTTATTTTAAAGGGGAAGCCAAATAAAGACGCACCCGTATTGGCAGTGGATGCGCAGCCCAGCACAAATGTTGTTTGTAAATATCGAGCATGGTGTCTAATTGAGTTTCAGGCCTGTTCCCATCTGAATGCGCAGACAAATGGAATTTTACACGCTTGGTTCTGGGCTCCATTTAGCCTTGGTTGCTGATGTACGCATCACCTGGTTCCTTAAACATTGCAACCCAGTGATCCAATGAATCCGATGGGCCCGAAAGAATCAACCTTTTGACCTTCTCATTTGGGCAATCCATGGGTACAGAAGCTAGACAATTGCGGGCCATGTGGAAAAGCGAGTGGCAACGCAAGCAATCCAACCACGAACCCTGAGTGGCGATGTTGCGGGCCTGGGATGCCACTCCCTCCAGAACTGACAGATGGCGCTTCGCACTGCTTCTTCCCGATTGGGGTGCGCCTTTCCATTCTTGAGTCCCTGCTCCGCAGCATGCTCAGCATCGTGGGCAATTCACAGCGGCCCCTGGTAAAGCTGTTGCTCGCTTGGCTTGAGACTGTTCCTTTCTCTAGCATGGCCCTGAAGTAGGAGGCACATTGGCGTGCACACACACAGACGGATAGACAGACAGAGACAGAGAATTACGGAGACAGAGACAGAGACTTGGAGGCGAAGATAGACACGCACACACACACACAAGAGCAAACAAGCTCACAAATACCCAAGCACACAAACACACAAAAACTCAAGCACACACAAACACTCAAACACACAAACACAAGTGCACAAATACACAAGCACACAAATACACAAGCACACACACACATACACAAGCACACACACACATACACAAGCACACACACACAAAGACACACACACACACACACATGCAAAGCCATTTCTGGCACATGTCTTGCAAGGTGCTAGCGGCAAACCCTCACAATGTTGCGCAGGTGTGGGTCTTCAGGGCTTTAGTGTTTTTTCAACTGCCAAACTACACATTTCCTGACTGCTGAGCTGCATCACCGGTGCCTGTGCATGTTTCTCATGTCACACCATCTGCATAGGCTGTGTGCTTCGGGATGGTGGTTTCGATTGGTGGTATGGATTCGGATGAGAAGCCCTTCTTGTAGAGAGTAAATGGGGTTTAACCTCCAAACTGGGCTCCAAGCCACCCTTTTCGAGGGAAGCTGACCTTTTGGGCTGCAAAGAGCGGCTTGCTGATATACAAGGAGTTCCCATTTGAGCGCACATTGGTGGTTTGCGCGGTCTCCATTTCCGTTTGCTTACCGAATTTCCATCAACTTTCCACTCTTCACTCTGCGCAAAAATGCAGGTCGATCTATATTAAGTCTGTTTGTTCGCAAAGCTGCACGTGTCGGTTCGTTCCCTTTGCACCTAACTTAGGCTCATCCAAATGTCCGCCCCGCCCCGTTTTTCCCATGTCATGTTGAAGCCAAAATATCGTTGGCAATGCTCTCACATTATGAGCCATATACACGTATGCATGCATACACCATGTACCTTGATTGCTAATGGGTTGGATCTTTAGACTAACCCCTAACAAGTTATTCACTTTTTGCAGGGGGGTCAACAGCAACCCAGGTATGCTCTCCTACCTCTGTTTTTGCGATTCTTCCCAAGCCAGGCGCAAGGAGGAGACCTCCCCGCGGCGCGCGGCGAAGCGCGAGGAGCTCACCCAACGAGGCCGGGGACGGGGCATGGCCGGGTTTGATGTCGAGCCTCGAGTGAAACAGGAGGTATGAGGAGGTGTTCTTACCCTGGAAAGCCAGGTGTTCCAAGAAACAAATGCCCTGTAAAAGAAGAGGCCGGAACTTGGAGCAGGGGGCTTTTGCTTTTTTGTTTCTTCTCGGGTTTTGGAACTCACTCGCAAGAAAATCGCCCGGATCTACGCTGTTGGTTTCCCTGATTTGGCGTATGCAGGTTCCAAAAGGTGAACCTTTCATTTCCAGGTCCTTCGGGCTGAGGGAAAGTCGTTGCAGAAGTTGCGGAATGGTTGGCCCAGGTGGTTGCAAGGGAACGGGTCGACCCAGAGTGAACAAGAAATGACTTCTTCGATTTGCGTCTTCTTCGAACCCAACTTCTTCTTTGGGACCCTTCTCTTCAATGGGCGAGTTTCCATAGATGATCCCCAGTTGCCAGGTTTCCTGTTTGCTTCCCCCAAACCTTCCGGGCCGTCGAGGTGGATTGGGATGATTGATGTTTGACCTTCCACTTGTAGGTTGGACATCTATAGTTTCTTCACCAGGCAACCAAACCAAGTCCCAAGGTTCCCGTGGAGTTCCCTTTGGTTCCTTTTCAAGATCAGGGCTTGGAGCTTGGCTTGCCCTCCCACCCCAGGAAAATTCTACTCGCACGGATGCGTCCGTGCGCGCCCGGGCGCGAGGGAACTTCACCTCGGCGTTTCTGGCGGACCTGGCGGTGAAGCCGCGGGTGGACTCCCAGCCGCTCCTGGCCTTCATGGAGCAGGCGCCGGGCAACGGGTTCAGGGAGGGCGTTTTTGGGGGGGTGAGGGTTCTCGGGGGAAAAATGGACAACGGCACCATGGGCCCCCATGCTGACCTTCTTGTCTTTTCGGGGTATGAGGGAGAGGTGTGACTCGTATTTTTGGGTTGTTTCACACAATAGGGGTGCTTCGCTCCAGAAGGCAGGTTGTTCTATTTGTCTTTTTGGTTCTGAAAGGGTGGTTTCCAACTGGGTCCTGGAGGCCTTAAAGTGGCAGACATTTGGACCGAGAAAGCAGGGCACTTTTGAGGATGCAACTTTGAACCATTTTGAACCGCGTCCCTCCCTTGTTTGTTTTGAACATGAGGTAAAGATGTCCATCCCGCAAAGGGGGGGGGCCTGTTCATCTTCACCCCCCCCTGCTGTCGCCTGGGGGAGCCCTCATGCGGGGAGTAGACTTAGGAGGCTATCACAAGCAATGGAAATGTGTTATCAAGCCTAGGCCACCTAAGGTAATGCCTAGGCAAGCAGCAAACCGTTGACTACTTTTCACACTGCTGATAGTGCTCTTGAAGTCTGTAGCGGCGGAGCATGTACAAGGTACACTCATGCACAGGGTTGGAACCTGAATCCACACCCCCCTCGTTTGAGATTGAGCAACAACGAAAATGTCGGCAGGTTTTGCAACCCGCTTTGATTCCATACGCACATCCATTGCACGTTGAAAATGGACATTACACATCCGTCGTGCATGCAAATTGCTACTCTCTCTCAGAAGGGCTCCGTTGTGATGAGGATTGCATTCACCACCTTCCGCTAGTAGACCAGCCGCGCGAACTCCAGGTCGACCACTGCCAGCCGCTCCAGTCCTGACTGCTCCAGTCCTGACTGCCCCAATCTCTCCAGCTTCGGCTTCTGGCAGCGGAGCTGGAGGCGGGCTGAGCAGCTTGCACAGGTCCGCGGGCGCGGTCCTCGGCGCTTTGCTTTTGGCTGCGCCGTGCGAGCTTCTTCGCATCGTCCTCCGCCTGGCCGCAAATCTCCTTGACTTCAGCTTCGAGATCCACGGCTCCGGTTGCCCGGAGCGTAGGGAACTTCCCGCCAAAGGTGACAAGATTGCGCATCCCCGGGAGGATGTTGACCTGGTCGACGAATTGATGAAGACTCAGCATTTTCCCGTTGTACGAGAATAGCCATGGAAACTCAAGCAGGCTGGCGTCATAGTCCCCGACCTTGCCGCCGGTGACGTAGACGGTCCTCACATACTGGAGACCTCGTTTTCCATAGCGTGGCCCAACCCCGAGAAGTCGTTGATCATAACTCCGTGGAAATTCGGGGAGGACACAAAACCTATAGATAGACATCTGGTAGAGGCTGTCGCGGTTGTGCCCTTGCTCCACCATGCGAAGGGCGAAGGTCGCGTCTTTGTCAAACCGATCCACCACATTGTCGTATCCGAGCTTGCGGGCCCTGCTGTCGTAGTTCTTCGAAGCCTCGATCTGCTTGGCTTCAAAGGATGTTGCTCCTCTCTTTGCAACATCAGCGTAGCCCTTGAAATCATTGATGAGGAGCTGGTCAACCGTCTTGCCGACGCGGTGGCTCACCTCCTCAAGCATCTGCGTTCTCCGCTTTGCGGCTCTGAAGAGCTGAACGTCGTTGTTCTCCTTGGTGCTCCGTCCACAGCGCTGACACTTGAGCTGCCCCTGCATCATGTCCTCGCCGCAGAGGCTGCAGTCCGTGTAGTGGACGGGCATCGCAAAGGTCTTGAAACGGACAACTGAGGTGTCGGCCGCGGGTTGCCCCGGGCAAGAAGCGGCCGTATCCTCATTTGTCTGCTCTTCTTCAGGATTTGTGGCCCTGTTCCCCTCCGCATCGGTCTGAAAGGCCTCGTCTGCAGTCACAGTGACGGCTCGCCTTGCGGCGAGCATATCGACAGTCGTTTGATTCTCCAATGCCTCAAGACGAAGGGCGTTCCTCCAAAGCACTTCTCCGGTCTTCGCGTCTGTGTAGTACAGAATGGAGTCATTGGGAACGATGTCGTTGGTCAGCATGACATCAGACTCGGAAAGGAAAAACACCACTCCGAGCTCAATCGCATACTTGAAGTCGATCACAAGCTCAATGGGCATCGTTGCTCGGACTCCAGCATTATACGATGAGCTCTCTACCGGGTGGATGGAAAAGTGGCTTTGCGAGCGGCCACTCTCCGTGGCACCAACGCCACCCGGGACCAAACCTGTCCTGACGATGTTCTCGGCTGCGTTCTTGCTCGTGCGATGGTATAGTTTGCCAGGGCCATCATCAACCGGTGAAAGTTGCAGTCCAACCTTGCGAGCGTCCTCCGGGAGAAACTTCCCATAGACGGCCTTCGCAAGTGCATACTGGTTCCGGCTGATGTCGCCATCAGCATCAACGCTGCTGGCGTGTCCCTGACTGGCACGAACCTTGATGACAACCCACTCCTGGTTGTTCTCGGCAGCCGAAGGGTGCTTGATCGCGAGGACGGTGTATCTGCATTTCGGATCGAGTGCAAAAATCTTCAACAGCGTTTTGTACCCGATATTGCTGCGGGTCTTTCTGTTGAATTTGTCACATAGCTGATGGACGTCGACAAAATAGTTCTCATCGAAATCGAGTGGCCTCTGTTCTTGAAACCTGCCACGAAGCATACCAGATATGGTTGTGCACCGATCGGTAGAGGACGTTTCTCCCTTCATGAAGTTGGGCACCTTCAGGATCGTGCTCGGGAGAATCCTCGCCTCATACTCCTGGCCGCGGAAGATGACGGTTCCGCCGGGCTTGCCTGGCAACGCGCTTCCGGCAGGGGTTGCCCCCCGCACATCCGACGCCACCGCAGCAGTTGATGGTTTCGCCTGTACCTTAGGCGATGCTTTCGCGGTGAACTTGGGTGTAGCCGGAGCGGCCTTGACGCCAAGCGCAGCCTCAGCGGCACTCCCTTGCGGGAGTGCTTCATCGTCATCATAGTCGATCTCCTCCTTGATTTCGACTTCCTCGATCTTTTCGAGGATGCGGCCTTTCGCAAGCTTGATCGGACGTTGAAGGCTTTCCCATGACTCAAGAGTGAGCTTTCTGTTCGCCTCATACTCGGCCAAAGTGTTGGGATTGAGTCCAGCTTCAGCGTCATGAGAATATTCAAGGTACAACCTGCTGTTGTTGAAATCTTCTTTGTGGGACTCAGCGACAGCGACACACTTCTTGACGTTGTGCAACGACCACAGCCACTCCACCGTCGTCTTCCGGTTCTCGATGGAGTCCATCATGTGATAGTTGTCAAGCCGGTCCTGACGAGAGACCAAGAACGTCGACTCCTTCTTGCGAAGGAGCTTGTGCTTGTTGAGCGACTCATCCAACAACTTTTCCATGAACTGGTTGTAGATGGGCGGGAGCATATAGTACGAACCCTCGGTGTTGGCCAAGATCGTGATGTTTGCAATGCCCCACCAACTCCTGCACTCCTCAAGCACATCGATCGCCTTGGCGCACTTGTTGAACAGCTCGGGCCAGTGACCGTCTCCGCAACGGTATGGCCATTCGGGCTCATCGCAGATCCCACCACTGCCAACGAGCTCGTTCCCGGACCAGTACACCGTCACGTAGAAGTCGTGGTCCTTAAACTCAGGGCGCTTCTTCAAGTCCTTCATGGCGCTCTTCACTGTCCACGTGAGAAATGTGAGGTCCTTTCCCCAACACATTCTCACCTCACAGTGGCTACAACCAGTGCTGCGGTTGTAGTTCATGTCCTGCGCCAAATCCGCCCTCTTGCGGTTCTTCTTGCCACCGCTGATGAGGGCGAGGCTGGAGTCACTCACAACGAGGTATACGCTATTCCGGCCACAGGTTGCCCCGGGCGTGATGCGGCCAAGACCTTTGTCGTTAACGGCGCAGAGCGTATCCATGAGCTCCGGCGCGTAGTCAGCCGCCCACATAGCGCATGAACTCTGAAGGGTGGCCTGTGCTCCGAGGATCTGCTCCATTGTCTTGCGATCCTCAGGCCTCGTCTCCTGGAACAAGGTGTTCGACGTGAAGCTCGTCATCACACCTCGCCAGTACTCCAAGTTGCCCTCCTCATACTCCCCGAGATTGTAAGCAGCCATTGCGGCTACCGGTGAGGGAAGCTTAAGAGCAACAAGTGCACGTTTTGTTGGTCTCTGAGCCGAGCTATCGGTGACAACCTGTTTCATGCTGTCAGCAAACTCAGAAAAACATCCATGGATCAGGTCAGTCATTTCATACGTGTAAGATTCAGCACGTTTGAGGGCCGCCCCCCTGGACTGTCCATGCTGATGATCCTTTGTGCACTTATACTGTTGCAGTTTGGCCAACGATTGACAGGAAGAAGCAATAGTCCATGACTTTTGCAACAAATTTCCATCCTTGTCAAGGACACCAAACATGCAACCATCGCAATTGTACTTGACCATCTCATATTTCATAAGGAAATCATGCACGAAATAGTTCTTCCAATAACTGCAAAGCTTAGGAAGTTCCATGTTGATCACAAGCACAATGTCAAGCTGTCGAAGCATAGTGATAAGTTTGTCCAAACGCTTCAGCAGTTTGCGAAACAACGCCTTGTGCTCCTGGATCTTGGCTTGACCTTCTTGAGTCTGACCATTGATATTGTTCCAGGGGCACCCACCCGTACACGGAAGTGAAGCATGAAGCATCACACAGGGCGGTGTTTTGGACTTGACATTCTTCCTGAAAAGTTGCACCTCGTCAAATACCCATTTCAATGTATCAGCAACCAACGCATTCTGACGCTCAGTTACTCTAAGCACCTTGCATCCAAATGCTGGTAATCTTGATTTGTCGCCGAGCTTGGAATCATCAGAACAGCAAAATTCGCACAAGAACCGATCATAGGTTTCATGCGTGGAAACGGCGGAAGCTTGCGCCTCGCTAGTGGGGGCTGGTTTGATTGTAATGTTTCCATCCAACTGCACCCACCGTACTCCAATAAGATTGCACGCGTGATCCCATTTTGCTTTGCTCGTAAACGGCTT